GATTACAGGGTTGACACACGATCCTCAGGCCGCTGCCGGGCTTTAGCTACCAAGAGATTATGAACCCCCCGTCCTCACAGCTGTTTCATAAACAGTGCAACCAGCAGGCTACAAGCAACCTAGAGGGAGGGTAATGTGTATTCATTAAATAATTAAATGACCTTAAAACGAAAAAAAAAAAAAAAAAAGAAAAGAAATCCGAGCCCTTAGTACTATCCTGCCAGAGGGAGGAGAGGCAAACGATTCCTTCTGCTAGTGTGTTTGGGGGGCGAGGTTGGGGGCGGGTAGGACGGGGCTGCCATGGGAGCATCCTAGCCCATGCATCTGAGAACCGACTTAGACCCAGCACATCCAAGGAATCTTATTCTTGCACCTTTAACCAGACCGTGGATACCCTTGGTCTAAACAAGCATTTTCCAAAGTGTAGTGTGTACAACATAAAAATGTCAGAAGGCTGGGACAGGACTGCATACCACAGTCTTTATGGGGATTCACACGCAATTCCTACTAGTAGGTCCTAAACATCTGAGAAGTCCTCCAGTCAAGAAAGCTGCTTAACTTTCTTTAACTCAACACACTTATTTGACCCTCCCACCACTGCCACCATAGGGAAAAACACCCATTAATATCCTGGGCATAGGCTTTGGAAAATGCCTTCCACTTTGAGCCTTCATTTTCCAACCTAGAGAAAGCTGCCTTCCTGGGCCCCAGTGACCAGTGTGAGATCTACTCCATCATATCCATACAGAGATGGGCAGCAGACCCACTAAGATGACACAGGTTGGGACAATGGCCAAGGGCCCTCCAGAACAGTTTAGGAGGAAACTGTGGCTCTGTTTTGGGAGGGCAACCTTTGCTCAGGACCTAACAATTCCACCTTGAGCCTAAGCTGTCTCTGCTCCCCGTGGCCCAGAAGTCCCTCTGGATGGAGGAACACTGGTCCCAAACGCAAAGCCTTTTCCCTTTTGAAGGAACGTTAAGACAATCTATGATACTACTGAATGGAAGAAAATATTGCTAATGATATAACCGATAAGGGGCTAATATCCAAAGTATCAATATAAACAGCTTATAAACTCAACATCAAAAACACAAACCACCTGATTAAAAAATGGGCAGAAGACTTGAATAGACATTTTTACAAAGAAGACATACAGATGGCCAACAGGCACATGAAAAGATGCTCAGTATCATTAATCAGAGAAATGCAAGTTAAAATCACAATGAGAGGGCTTCCCTGGTGGCGCAGTGGTTGAGAGTCAGCCTGATGATGCAGGGGACACAGGTTCGTGCCCCGGTCCAGGAAGATCCCACATGCCGTGGAGCCGCTGGGCCCGTAAGCCATGGCTGCTGAGCCTGCACGTCCAGAGCCTGTGCTCCGCAACGGGAGAGGCCACAACAGTGAGAGGCCCACGTACCGCCAAAAAAAAAAAAAAAAAAACAGGACTTCCCTGGTGGCACCGTGGTTAAGAATCCGCTTGCCAATGCAGGGGATACGGGATCAAGCCCTGGTCCAGGAAGATCCCACATGCTGCGGAGCAACTAAGCCCGTGTGCCACAACTACTGAGCCTGCGCTCTAGAGCCCACGAGCCACAACTACTGAAGCCCGCGCGCCTAGAGCCCATGCTCCGCAACCAGAGAAGCCACCGCAATGAGAAGCCCGCGCACTGCAAGTAAGACCCAAGACAGCCAAAAATAAAATATAAAAAAATTAAAAACAAACAAAAAAAATCACAATGAGATATCACCTCACACCTGTCAGAACAGCTGTCATCAAAAAGACCACCACAAATAACAAATGCTGGCGAGGATGTGGAGAAAAGGGAACCCTCATACGCTGTTGGTGGGAATGTAAATTTGTGCAGCCACTGTGGAAAACGGTATGGCGGTTTCTCATAAAGCTAAACACAGAACTACCATATGACCCAGCAATTCCACTCCTGGGTATGTATCTGAAAAAATGAAAACACTAATTTGAAAAGATACATGCACCCCAACGTTCACAGCAGCATTATTTACAATTGCCAAGATATGGAAGCAACCCAAGTGTCCGTCAACAGATGAATGGATAGAGAAGATGTGGCACATATATACAATGGAATACTACTCAGCCATAAGAAAATGAAATTTTGCCATTTGCAACAACATGGATGGACTTGGAGAGCATTATGCTAAGTGAAATAAGTCAGAAAAAGACAAATACTGTATGTTATTTATATGTGGAATCTAAAAAATACGAATGAATATAACAAAAAGGAAACAGACTCACAGATACATAGGACAAACTAGTGGATACCAGTAGGGAGAGGGAAGTGGGAGGGGCAAGATAGGGGTAGGGGATTTAGAGGTACAAACTATTATGTATAAAATAAATAAGCTACAAGGCCATATGGTACAACACAGGGAATACAGCCAATAACTTATAATAACTATAAATGGAGTATAACCTTTAAAAATTATGAATCACTATATTGCATACCTGTAACTTATATAATATTATACATCAACTATATCTCAATTTTTTTAAATAGACTTAAAAAAAAAAAAGACAATCTATGATAACCAGACCCAGGCCTGCACCTCCCTCCCAGGAGACCAGACTGCATTCACTTTTTTTTTTCATTGCCATGAGATAAAGACCTACAATATTTATTAGGTTCAAGGACATAAAGTTATTGTGCCAAATCAGACTGCATTCACTGTTATCACTTAAGTGTCCCTTACAAAACCCCAAAAAACAGGAAAGGCTGGAATCAAATTATGACTCATCCCAAAAGATACGACTCTCCCCTCCCCAAAAGGATGCTGTGGGGTTGCCTATAGGGGCCCATCTTTCTTCTCATTTCTGAGGTGTGCATGACTCAGAGAGGCGTTGGGCAAAGGGGCTTTGCCCACTATATATCACCTCCATGACAGACCTCGCCCACCTCATTCACTATTGTATCCCCATGCCTGGAATATAGCAGGTATCAAGAAATACTTGTTGAATGAATGAACGCATAACGTAATGAATGAGTCAATGAGCTAAGTGGTGCATCTATCTATGCCAGTGTCAAGAGTCAGCTCGGTGTGTGGTTAAGAATATGGATTCAAGCCAGACTACCCAGGTTGGACTCCTGTCCCACCACTAAGTTGCATGACCTTGGGCAGGTTACTAATTTCTCTGGCTCAGTTGTATTCCCTCTAAAATGGGGATAATAACAGTGCCAACCTCATAGGTTGCCATGACAATTAAATTAGTTAGCATGTGTGAAGTGCATAGAATAGTACCTGGCACAGAATATGTGCTTTATAAATATTATCTCGACTCATTATCATCCTGATACCAGGTACGAGAAAGTCCAGCTGGGAAAATGAACATGACCTTTCATGTAGACACCGAATCCTTTCACTCAACATTATTTACTGAACACTATTATGTGACAAGTACTCTCTCAACCCCTATTTGGGTGCAAGGAGAAGGCAACCATGTTCAAATGTGAAACCCTATCAGGAAAAAGAGCCTTCTCCTCTATGAGTGATACTTCTTGCTGACTTTGCATGGCCAGCACCCCAGCCTTGAGCCCATCCTCTTGGGCCCTAGCCCCTCCTAGATCAGAGCCCAAAGCCATGATCTCCTGTCCTAGATATGCAGCAGCACACAGAAGAAATAAAGGATTAATATTTGGGGGGAAGAACCAGGGAGGCCAATGAGTAGCTTTCGGGGAGAGAAGATCTTCTCCCTGCTTAACCCTAAGGCTACATTTTATCTGCCCATGATATTTTCAAAACCAGGGATTGATTTCAAAGCCATTTGAAGAGTGATTCACCTAGTATGAGGACAAGGAAAACAGGCCTCATCTCTCCAAGAGCTTCCTGACCTTGCTGAGCGCCTTATTGAGGCTCTCCAAAGAGCCAAGGTTGGGCTGAGGGTGGGGCTCAGAGGTCCCAGAGTCTCCCAGCAAACCACCCACATAAGTCCCATGATTCTTAGTGCAGCCCCGAACCGGCATCTTCAGAGTAAGCCGGTCCCTCAGAGCTGCCACCAGAGTTGCAGCCAGGTCAGGCTAACTACTCCAAACCTGCTAACACTCCAGAAGGTGAGTGCCGACAGGGGCTCTGTCTGCCTGGCCCTACGGCTTGACTACCACTCAACACTGATGCTTCACAGCCAGGGGAGGAATTTCTCCCATGAGGGTTCCAGCTGCAGCCAACTCCCCCCTAAAGATGGCCAAATGTTGGTCACCACATCCAGGGGGATAGCCAACAAGGGCTCGGGACCATGCTGAAATTCCTCCTAGTGCTTCCAGCTGTCTTCACTCAGCTCCTTTGCTAATTTGTCATGACCAAGCTTCCAGCCACATACAAGGACCCAACAGTTAGTGTAAGTGACACTCTAGTTAGCAAGCGTCTCCTACTCCAGGGCCTCTCAAAACTCACCCCAGAGGCCTCTGCCAGCCAAGGCAAGCAGTTCCACTGGCAAAGCAGCTACCAGGAAGTTCAAGGGCACAAAGCAGACTGCCAGATGCAGTACACCTACCTCCCTTGCCAGGAACGAGCCAAAGAGGTAAGGATGAAGGCCTCCAGTGACCCCATCACTCTGCCATCCTGCCCATCCCCCTGCCTCCAGGTGGAAATCCTCAGCCCTCGGTATCTGGCAGTCCTCAAGCACTAGAAAGTGGTCCGGGCTCTTAAGTGGCGGCAAGTCCCGGGTCCCATGATTTCTCTAAACCTTTCGAATCCAATGTCGGTCGCCAGGGAGCTGAGGTATGGCGGGCTCACCTGAGGCCTCTGGAGCCCAGGCCACCGCAGGAACTGGGACAGGAGCACAGTCCAGGGCCCAGGCAGCGGATGAGCCCGGGATCGGAGCCGCCGCCTTAGCGGGCAGGGAAGCCCAGGGCCAAGATTCCGACCCGGGGGCGCTCCGACCCCCACTGTGGGCCGCCGGGGGCCGCGAGCCGTGGGTTCAAGGTCAGTAGCGCAGCGTCGCGCGCACTCACGGGCTTCAGGGGACAGGGTCATGCAGTGGGCCGAAGGGGGCGGCTCGCAGTCTGGAGAGCAGGTGGCGGCGCGGGTCAGGGCGAACAGCGAGCACCGCAGAAGGGCTGCCCCGCCCTGCCGCCGACCCGCGGAGCCCGGGCCGGGCCTCGCCCCACGGCGGGCGCTGGGCGGGAGCCGGCGGTGCGCCCCGCGGCAGGGACAGGGGCCGGCGGTCCCGGGGCGCGGTGCTGCGCCGCGCCAGCCCGGAGCTCCCGGGCCGCCGGGCGGGAGGAAAAGGGCCGCTTCCGCAGGGGAGAATCCCGGGGGTCTCGCGCCACCCCAGCCGGTGACCTACCTGGGCGCGGAGCAGAGGAGAGGCGAGGAGCCAGCGGCAGAGGGGCGCGGGCCGAGCCGCCGCCGCGGAGGTCTGCCCTGTCCGCCGCCCGCCCACCCGGCCGGGCCGCTGCTACCTGAAGCGCAGGGCCGCGCGGCCAACAGGAAAGGAAACTTGAGAGAGCCCGGGGCGCGGCGGCCTCCGCCCTGTCCCTCGGCCGGAAAAGCGCCCGCCGCAGCCGGGGGTCAGGTCCAGCCCGGCTCGCCTCCGCGGTCACCCCCGGGCCCCAAAGCGTTCCTCACGATGTTCGGATCTTCCCAGACCTCCTCCCCTGCCGGGACTTGTCCCAAGGAGAGATTCTGGGGTCAGCGCCCCCAAACAGGTGACTTACTCCCTGGAGCTGAACTGACACACTCTCTCCTCCAACCCTGTGCTCTGCCTTACACACCCGCCCCTCTAAGTCCGGATTGACCTCTAGTTGCCAAAGCCAGTGGGTGCTTTATAGCCTCCCCTAGTCGCTTCTCCCCAGCCTTTGAACCTGCTGAGCACACCTTCCTTCCTGCAACCCCCTTGGAGTACAGTTTCCAGAGTCGGCGCCTGCAACCACCACCCCTCTCTCTCTCCAGATTTTCTACACACCTTAATGACTGCAGCTTCTCAGCCTCCAGGGCCTGGCTTTTCATTGTGGTGGTGTTCTCTGGGGTTCCACTGCTCGGCTGCCTGCCCCTTCTGGGGATCTCACCCACTCCCATGTTAAAACCTCCTGCCTGCTAATGACTCTGGAACCTCCCCTCCAGCCCAGAATGGTCCAGAGCTGCAGATGGCATATCCAACCAACTGGGCACATCTCCACTAGAGGTTCCTAGACCGGAGGAAACGTGTCCAAACTCAAACTCCTAATTTCCTTCCAGGAACGTGCCAGAACCCACTCCTGTTCCTGTGTTTCTGTAACCCAGCAGGACCCTATAAGGCCTTCTAGGGACAGACTCCTCCCACCCTCCCTGTCCTCCACCTGCCTCTTGTTTGTAGAAAAACTTTAGCATCCTAGGCCTTTCCTGAGTTCCACATTTAATCAGAGAAGTGAGAAAATGCAGAAGCAAAGGAAAACAGTCAAGTAAGACAAAAATAATAATAGTTTAGCTATAAAACAAAGTCAAGGACCTTTAGTTCCTCTTCGAGGGCTACAGATAATATTCTGAGCCATATGCTTGAGCTGTTTTGCAGAGACTGAAACCTCCACCAGGTGGAAGGCATTAACTGCATGCTGATCAACAAGCACATAGACCCCAGACAATTAGAACCAGAAGGTTGATGATGTTGACTCCCAATTATCTCACCACCCATCAGAAGAATGTCCAGGATCTGATCACCCACCCTGTTGCCCTCTCCCTGTCTTTAAAAGCCCTTCCCTGAAATCCATCGAGGAGTCTTTTGAGCTTTACCCGCCAGTACTCCTTGCTTGGCCTTGCAACAGATGCTGCACTTTCCTTCACCACAACCCAGTGTCAGTAGTTTGTCAAGTGGACCCAAATTTCATTAGATAACATTTCCAGCCTTCTGGGTGACAGCACCACCACCCACTCCCCCAAGCCACTCTTGAGAGCTATCCTCGACTCCTTCTCCCTTTCATATCTCACACCGGTTAGTCACCAAGGGGGAAGCGAAACTATTCATTAGTGTCCTGATGGTGCTAACTGCTTTCACATTGTCACATTTGTGCACCAAGTTTTATTCCTTCTATGTCCTAGCCTGATATTTACAATTTATTTGTAAGTTATATGCACATGTAACTATATAAATACATTATGTATTACAAGGCATGCTAAAAGTCATTACAGGATTGGGTAAAGATGAAACAATAATCTTAAATTATTTCAATTTTAATGAATGGTACATTATACCCTTTTCCCTTCACTTTAAAGTTATTAGCAAAAATCTGTTTGAGAGCAACATGATTAAAAATGATTTCAATCAATCTTAGTTTAATATTTTATGAGACTAGAAAGTATGCTTTTAAGTTCAGTTAATGTCAATACTTAGTCCTAATGGCTGTTAATTGCAAAACAAAGCCAAAAACCTCACAAAGATAAATACACCCAAATAAAAAAGTTCTGGGTCTTCCCTGGCGGCCCAGTGCTGAAGACTTCGCCTTCCAATGCAGGGGGTGGGGGTGGTGTGGGTTCCATCCCAGGTGTGGGAGCTAAGATCCCACATGCCTCCAGGCCAAAAAACCAAAACATAAAACAGAAGCAATATTGTAACAAATTCAATAAAGACTTTAAAAATGATCCACATCAAAAAAAAAAAGTTCTTTCACTACACTTATTAAATCACAATTCTCACTGCTTTAAATCCCATCTACCAATTTTGCAAATGTGAAATTCCCCCAGGAAACTCTTCTTTGTCCATGAAGCCCACATTCCCAATGATGTTTTTGTTATCAAGCAAAGGTTCACTGCCTGATGTGCATAGGAGCCAATAATATGGCACTGGTTTTGAGGGAGAAGAAGCTTTATTGCGAGGTTGACCAGCAGGAGACAGGAGGCAAAGTTCTCAAATCTGTCTCCTTGATCCAGGGTTGGGGTGAAATTTAAGAGGTTAGGGGAACTTCAAACTTGGAAGCTGACTGGCTAGTCTTGAATCAGAACATATAAACTACTCGTGCTACTGGAAGATGTTCCTTATTGAAGGACTCCCTTTGCTTTGTTAAGAGTTCCAGTGGCAACCTTTTGATTCTTTGAGTGCTGTAGACTGAAGATTCTCAGTTGGGGGTCATCCTGAAGAGATGGCTTCCCATCTTGCACTGCTGTTTCTGTAAAATAACTCAAGGTTTGATTAATCAACCTATTTAGGGAGGCAAAACCAGTTTAAGCTGGGGCTGTTTCAACAACCTATTTAAGGAGGCAAAACCAGTTTAAGCTGCTCAGTGTTTTATGAGCTGTTTCATTTTCATCAGTTGTTCCTGCAGATATTTTTAACAATGGGATTTTTTTAAACTCCAGAAATTCTTTATTTGAAAGAATGTAATATAGGTTTAAAAAGTATATTTCTTAATTTTGAAGACAGTGGCTATGACAGTCTATATAGTTGAAACTGACACACTTCATTTTGGCATTAAAATCACATGATAATGGAAACAGTTACAGCATCAATTTTCAAAGTGCTTTCCCCATAACATGATTATTTTAAAGCACAGTTACATTCATTGCTAAAATATCACCTATACCTGAAGGGATACCTTGTGTGACTCACATGGAGTCCCTCCCTGCCCAGCCCCAGTTTTGTATTCCAGTCTGGGCAGCCACTGCATTGATATTTACTCTTACACATAAAAACCACAGCATGTTATACTAGATATATCATTCACATTATAAACACATCTTTTCTTTAGTAGATCACAAGAAGTATTTCTTTATGAATGCCATCACTGAAAAGACTTAAAGTAAAACATATTAGCGACTGGCATCCAACCGTAATCCAACTTCCACAACATAATATGTTCTAAACCGTTTTTCCAAATCTTCGACGACGTTTTCTGTGTGTCTTTCAACAGAATGCATTTTTACGTGTTGCCATCTTCTCTCTGTACCAATTCAGTCACTTTAATCATGGCAAATAGAACAGTGGGTTTTTTCCAATATATTGACTGACATTTTGCCTTTTACTATTAAATAAAAGAGATTTTATTCAAAAGAGATTTCACTCAAAAGAGATTTCTAAACATGTTTATTACATTTAATAATAGTTCACAAAAATACACGACTAAGTATCGCAAGACTTGGAAAAAAATCATAGAGATTTGTCTTCATGCTCTGGGTGTACAGAATGTACATATCTCGCTGATCATGATGGCATATTTATATAATTATTAGCTAATACCTCAAAGTGCAGTATCCCCCTAGGCTGGTTGTTAACTATAGCGATGTAAATCCGTATTTTGAGAGGTCTTTTTTTTATACATTTGAACTTTTTTCTGATAGACTTCCGTATCAGAGATATCCTCATAATGGATCTCATATGAATAGCAGGAAATTGTTAGCTCTACCATTTTTCTGAGTTTGCTTTTGCTTGCGCTATCCATATGACAGTGTCCCTTCCAAGACCCCTGCAGATACTAAAATCCATGGATACTCAAGTCCCTTATATAAAATGGCATAGTATTTGCATATAACCTATGTACATCCTCCCGTATACTTTAAATCATCTCTAGATTACTTATAATACCTAATACAATATATAAATAAATACTATGTAAATAGTTGCCAGGCACACTGCAAATTCAACTTCTGCTTTTTGGAACGTTCTGGAATTTCAAAATATATATATTTTCCATCCTCAGTTGGTTGAATGTGCAGATGCAGAACCCATGGATACAGAGGGCCCCCTGTATTTTCAATCTATGGATTTCTTTGCAGGAATCGTTTCAAGCTACTTGTCCCTTTTGTGAGAATTAGTTAAACGCTAGTTAGATGATATAATCTATCTACCACCTGGGCTACAAGTAATTCGTAATACCTTGCGATCCACTTGAAAGTAACTGGAACAGTGAGGGTGCCACTGTCACCCCTCCCCTATGTAGTAGAATTCCCTCTTCCCTGAGGACACTTCTTCTATGACACATGACATGGACACCTGACAAAAATGTCGAGTAAGGGTGACTTAATCCATACAGTAAATATTGCTAAATTTATTTTTACACTAAAACATATATACAAAAAACATACCTCATTTTATTGTGCTTCGCTTTATTGCACTTAGCAAATATTGTGTTTTTGACAAGTTGAAGGTTTGCGGCAACCTTGCATCGAGCAAGTCGGTGAGAACACCAACTAGTAGCAACCAACACAACCGTCCCCCGCCCCACCTCCATCCCCCAGCAGCACCATCAGGCTCTTCTCCATTCTTCTGCCACCAGGGGCAGACATCCTGAGTCCTTTCTCCTCCTCTCCTCCAATCTGCCCTTCCCTCCAATCATTCAGACCTGAACGCTTTGGAGAGCACTGGGCCCCGAGCTGTGGGTTACCTCCAAGGGTGCTCTGACACTGGCAGATGGGGATTATTTGAGCATTTGTGGAAGCCCAGGGGTCTGCGCTTCATCCCCCCAACCCCTACTAACACCGTCCTCTGGGTAGTTGTTCCACAATGCACACACGCACGTCCAAGATGGGCATGGCAGCCTCCAAATAACCAATTCATCTGTCTCCTTTTACTGTCTCCTGAACTACAGACGCAAAAAATCTCACCCAGGAGACGATAAGAAGGGGGTTCTGCTTCTGAGACTGCTTTAGCAGAGTCTCAGCAAATACATTCAATTTTCAAACCAAAGTGCCCCCGGGCCTTCTACTAATTGAGTGAACTGAAATCATAGCATATGGTCTGGAAACAGGGCAGAAATAGGTCCATCAGGAGTATGTAGTGGCTGGAAAATGAGTGCTCCGGGCATGGAAGGGCATTGTGGCCCCCACTGGTGC